GGGTAAAGTGGATTCTTGCTGAGTGGGGTAGAACCAATAAATAGGTGTTACAAAAGGGTGTTTTAAGAGAAGTTTTAAGGTGTTTTAAGAGAAGTTTACAATAAATGAATAATACGCTCTCTTAGCTTTGACTCAGATGCTTCTTAGGGCAATAATCTACCAAAACTTTCTCCACTTTAAAACAAAAAATGAAGTCTTCGTAAAATGGCTAACCTAATAAATATACTTCTACTATTGATCTATGTCCTTCTGATCAATGAACAGATCAGAGCTTAGACAATTAAAATGTGGAACAATATTAATGTGGCTGTCTTGTATGGATCTTGTTTCATAGAATATCTCTCTGGAGTAGAAATGGCCTAAAGAAGATTAAATGACAAATTGACTAGGATTCTTAATTGTATAAACCTTAATAAAATGTATACTAATAAAAGTATAAATCTCAATAGGTGTACAGATAGTAGTAGATCAGGAGAAAAAACGTATAAAAACATGTGACAGCTTATACTGGCATTATAGGATGGTTTAAACATACAACCCCTCAGTGGTTATTACAACTCTTTGAAATCTGTATGTGCATTTTCATTGTCTATTGATTATACCATTGAAAGCCAAATGATTCTGTCAAATAAGAGTGATGGTTTTGTTATAAAAGGCTGTGAACAAAAATTAGCATGAGGGTATGGGGTGGACTCTGTTGTTAAAGTCCAGCAGACCTGGAATGAGTCTGAGCTAAAGATATGAGTGTCTGCATATCACTGACCATCAATCAAGAAGTAAAACATACTGATTAATAATGCCTTTTTGTATGAGTCCAAGATGCTTTGGAGCATGTTTGAGCAGCTTGTCAGCAATGTTTATTGGTGAGAGTGAGATTGATAATTTACTCCTGGTTTCATGGAAGGCTTCAACTTTTTCTGCTGTTGGGCCCAGTTGGCTACTGAGAATATGTCTGCGCACATGCTGATTCCTTATCTGACAGTAAAACTGTCTTTACAAAGGGAAATTGGAGCTTATGCCTGGCCCTTATACAGATCACTTGCTGTGAGGCAGCCTCTGGCTATAACATAAATATCACATACAGGAGAACCTACATAGTTGACCACCTCCCTACATTGATCAGCCCCTTAAGTTTACCTAATTTTCATAGACTGGACATGCTCCACATGTACATGTCACCACAGTAGGCCTAGTTCTTTATGTTGTCACCTTTGTATGTTGATCAGTTTGTTAACAGAGGTTCTGTTATACTTACTTTAATGGTGTTGCTGTTTTGTATACTCTCACCTTAGTAAATTGTAGCTTTTAAAGCATTGTCAGTTTGGGTCTTGTGAGCCTTCTTTAGAGATTGACTTGTTTAATTGCCACTGTTAGTATATCACTTTATTTTTGTAATGTGGCAGTTCTGTAGTTTCAGGCTTGTAGCCATTTCTTAAGGTATAACCTGTTTGTCTCTTGAGTTGTCTGCTCATAGACATGTATGTATCATCTGGTTTATTCAGTGATCCCTTTTGTTCCTTCATTTTCTTAGCTAAAAGACATACTAGTGTGCTCCTTGGTTTCTGATCTGTAATAAAGGTAATACCAAATAGTCAGCAAATGAGTCTACAACCATTTGTAATCTGGAGAATGCTTATTTAACCTTCCCATTGCATATACAGCAGGTTGCTCCCTATGAAAAAAACTATTAAATACCAGTAATAGTTAGAAAAACCTGGCAAACCTCCCTCAACCAGGTGATCAAGGTTAGAATCCATGATACTTCATGTTGACAGCAAACATATGAAAATGGCATTTACCTCTGTAGTCTTCCTACAAAAACTTAAAACACCAGTGCAATTACTTTAAAAAGCAAACCAGACAAATCTCAAAGAGGAATAGTTGCTGAAATATTTGAGGACTCCCCAAATTATCAAGGTAATCAAAGGGGAGGGGAGAAATTGCCATGGAGGTGGCTAGGGAGTCACAACTAAATGCAATATGGGATCCTGGTTGGGACTGTGGGGGTGGAACGGGTGTGATGCCTCTCCTCCCCATCATAAAGGGCATAGCACTTTTGTAACAAAAGATAGCCATATAGAAATATGATTGGACAAAAGAGTTTATCTAACAGTAAAAGACTGAGGGGTGCAGGGAGAAACCCAGCAAGGCCTGTCTGTCTAGATTCTTCTTGGCTTCTCTGTGCAGCCTTCCTTTCTTCTAGGTCTGGGGCAGGATCCTTTTTAAGTGGTGGTCTTACGACTTATAATCAAACAAGGTAGGTCAGAGAATTTCTTTATTGCCAGTTTTTACAAAGAAAGGGAGGGAAAAGAGTAATATTTTTAGTTTTTATGGCTGGATTCAGGAAAAAATGTTCTGGTTTCTATAATCCACCTTGTGGAAGAGGTATTCCACTTTCTGTGGCTAGTCTTGGGGGAGAATGAAGCTAAGAAACAGGAGAGCACAGAATGATAGAGAAAACATTGTTTCTGAGGCCTTCAGTTAAGGGCAGTGTTTTCCAACCTTTTTTATCTCATGGCACACTTGAACCTATAGTTAAACTGCCCCAGCACACTTATATTATGTTGATGATAAAAAAGAGGGAAAAAATGAATAGACTTACTATGTTTTGAACTTCTTTTGAAAATAATTTAATTAATGTTCTTTAAAACTTTTTGCAGAATACCTAAGATCCTCTCATGGCACACCAGTGTGCTGTGGCACACAAGTTGAAAATCACTGGTTTAGGGTATAATTTTTTGAGCCCCAATAGGATGACAGAATAGAAAAGGACATTAGGGAAAAACTAGTCCAATCTCAAAAAAAACCAAAAAAACAAAAAAACGTGTTTAGTTAATCATTTATCAATGTTATTTAGTAATGACAAATGTAACACAGTATTACCAGGGAAACTGGGTGAGTAAATAAAAATGATCATTGTAATTTTTCTGTAAATCAATTCTGAATTTTTTTTTAAATACACAGGGTTAATTTCCTTTTCATCTATGCTTTTCTAAACATTGAGCATGAGGAAACAGATGATTTTTAACTTTCATTTCCCTTTGGACATTGTGTAATACTTAAGTTACAAACTAAGAAGGGGAAAACATATTCCCTTAGCTGCTAGAACCTTTCTACCAGAAGGGACAATCTAGTCTCTTATGTGGTGGCATGATGATATAAATGTCACTCAATGGTGTGCTGCTTTCTATTCCCGCTACTTGTCTTTGATAGTAATACCACTAAATTAACTGACAACTCAGTATCACAGAAATACACGTTCTCCAATTAATGCTAAAGATATATCATCATTTTTACCTTCACACAACATAAACAAGGGATAGAGATTAGAGGCATTTTTCTCAGTGAGTCAAATGATTTATTTTCTACATGATTGAACTTTTACTTTCTACATGTTCAATCTATCCTATTGAACTTGCAGAAAGGGTTGAAAGAAATTTTTAGTGATCTGGGTTTACAACAAACAGTTCAACCAGGCATCATGGTGTTGCAAAAAAAATCCTAGACAGGATGCAGAGGCTCTTTGCACATGAGAGGGCTGAAATAGGATAAAATGAAAGCCCCCCCCCCAAAAAAAAAACATACATAAGAATCACCACCCCTCTATCATCCATACACATGCGCACACACAAAGAATGCTTAAGAAATCTTAGGGATCTCTAAGGTCCTAGCAAAAGAGGGCAAGACTATTGTTTAGACATAGCAGGGAGAACATAATCTGAACAGCATCAAGTTGAGGGAAGCCAAAAGATGACACACTCAGAAAAGGAAGTAGACACGTCCATAACAAGTTTGGCTGCTGGCTCCTACTAGAACTCACTACTACTAATAAATCACCTATTTACATATAGACTCATATAGATGTTCTACATAGCTCTAAATAAGCTACGTGCTTATTTAACCTTCCCATTGCATATACAGCAGGTTGCTCCCTATGAAAAAAACTATTAAATACTAGTAATAGTTAGAAAAACCTGGCAAACCTCTCTGGACTGTTCACAAACACTTATTGGTATTTTCCACAGAATTCAAGTCATTCTTCCACTTTTAAAACTTCATATTCAACAGTGAGGTTTGTCTAAGGCAGAGGTTCTCAACCTGTGGGTCGCTGTTTTAAAGGGCCATGGCATTAGGAAGGTTGAGAACCACTGATCTAAGGTATTTTCTCATATACTTATTTTCTATGAAACCTTTGCTATTACATCCAAGTTTTAGTACATCAGTTCTAGGTGAAGATTTTATCTTCAATTCTGAAACTGACATTTCCTCAGAAAAAAATTATCTGAAAGCAAACTTTCAGTCTTTGTTGAAAAATGTTATTTATTCAAAATATGAAACTTTATTCTGATTATTTGATGCTTAATGTAATTCACTCTGTGGTGAAAGCTTTGTGTTTTTCCCTGACATTTCTGATTTTTAATGAAGGCTTCTGATCATTCAGGATGTTGAGTTTTCTTCTTCATAAAAGGTCTCTGATGTCTAATGATTAGCTGAATTTTTATAGTTCTTCTTAAATATTCATAGGGTTTCATCCCACTCTAAGAGAGAGTTGGCTAAACCTGTAAGAGCTCAACAAAATACAAACCTAATTCTTGCTTTAAAAAAAAAAAATGCGGCTCGGCACCTGTGGCTCAGGTGGCTAAGGCGCTAGCCACATACACCTAGGGTGGTGGGTTCGAATCCAGCCTGGGCCCACCAAGACAACAATGACGGCTGCAACCAAAAAAATAGCTGGGCGTCGTGGCAGGCACCTGTGGTCCCAGCTACTTGGGAGGCTATGGCAGGAGACTCACTTGAGCCCAGAAGTTGGAGGTTGCTGTGAGCTGTGATGCCACAGCATTCTACCCAGGGGGATAGCTTGAGGCTCTGTCTCAAAAAAAAAAAAATGCAACTGGAGAATATCTGAAAGAATGCTGTTACATGCCTTTAGATTCTCTGACCTTGTCCTCTACCATGTTAAACACAAAGGACCCAAGTTTGCTGCAGAAATAACTCCCTTTTAACATGGGCCAGGACTAAAAATAATATATATCATTAGCATCACATTCTATGGTCAGCCCCACCTGGACAAACATAAGAGTGGGAGTTTTTGACAAACGATCAACCTAGTGGAAAAGGAAATGGTTAAGAGAAACAATGTGCCAGTCTATGTGATGTAAGTTTCTTCATGTGTATTATACAATAAGGTATCAGTTCCTTCAGGGCTTTCCAAATTCATTACAGGTTAGGGTTTTCTCTCTGGTATGCATTCTGGAGTGATGTATTCTAAGAGCTGCCTTACGGACAAATGTTTTCCCACATTCTTCACATTCATAGGGTTTCTCCCCTGTGTGAATTCTCTGGTGTACTCTGAGGGTTGAATTTTGCGCAAAAGCTTTCCCACATTCATTACACTCATAGGGTTTCTCCCCAGTGTGAATTCTCTGGTGTGCACTAAGGTGTGACTTCTGGGAGAAAGTTTTACCACATTCATTACATTCATAGGATTTTACACCTGTATGTATTCTCAGATGTACTCTGAGTGTTGAATTATGAGCAAATAGTTTCCCACATATATTACATTCATAAGGTTTCTCCCCTGTGTGAACTCTCTGATGTGCACTAACATATGACTTTTCAGAAAAAGTTTTACCACACTGATTACATTCATAGGGTTTCTCCCCTGTGCGAGTTCTCAGATGTGCTCTAAGGTGTGATGTCTTGGAGAAAGTTTTCCCACATTCATTACATTCATAGGGTTTCTCACCTGTGTGAATTCTGTGATGTGCTCTGAGGGCTGAATTATCGGCAAAAGTTTTCCCACATTCATTACATTCATAGGGTTTTTCCCCTGTATGAATTCTCTGATGTGCACAGAGGTGTGTTCTCTGGGAGAAAGTTTTTCCACATTCGTTACATTCAAAAGGTTTCTCCCCTGTGTGAATTCTTTGATGCACTATGAGTGCTGCCTTATAGACAAAAGTTTTTCCACATATGTTACATTCATAGGGTTTTTCCCCTGTGTGAATTCTCTCATGTCCACTGAGGTATGACTTCTGGGAGAAAGTTTTCCCACATTCACTACATTCATAAGGTTTCTCCCCTGTGTGAATTCTCTGATGTGTATTGAGGTGAGTCTTCTGGGAGAAAGTTTTCCCACATTCATTACATTCATAGTGTTTCTCCCCTGTGTGAATTTTCTGGTGTGCTCTGAGGGCTGAATTATGGGCAAAAGTTTTCTCACATTCATTACATTCATATGGTTTCTCCCCTGTATGAACTCTCTGATGTACTCTGAGGGCTGAATTATGGGCAAAAGTTTTCTCACAGTCACTACATTCATAAGGTTTTTTACCAGTGTGAATTCTCTGATGTGCTCTCAGGGCTGAATTATAGGTAAAAGATCTCCCACATTCACTACATTCATAGGGCTTCTCCCCTGTATGAATTCTTTGATGTGCTTTGAGAACAGAAACATGGGCAAAAGACCTTCCACATTCACTACACTCATAAGGTTTCTCTCCTGTGTGAATCCTCTGATGTGCTCTGAGGGCTGAATTGTGGGCAAAGGCTTTCTCGCAGTCACTACATTCATAGGGTTTCTCACCCGTGTGGATTCTCTGATGTGCTCTTAGGGCTGAATTATAGGTAAAAGATCTCCCACATTCATTACATTCATAGGGTTTATCCCCTGTGTGAATTCTCTGATGTGCACTGAGGTGCATCTTGTGAGAGAAAGTTTTCTCACATTTAATACATTCATAGGGTTTTTCGCCTGTGTGAATTCTCTGATGTGCTCTGAGATGTGATGTCTTGGAGAAAAATTTTCCACATTCAGTACATTCACAGGCTCTCTCCTCCATGTGAATTCTCTGATGTTCTTTGAGATGTGCCATGTTGGACAATGTTTTCCTATATTTACTGCCTTGATGGAGTTTCATCTCTGTGTCTGTTCTCTGGTGTCCTATTAGTGATTTGTAAGACTGCCCACAGCCACTGTTTTCATAAGGTTTCTCCTTTGTGTGAATTCTTATATGTTCAGCGAGGTTAGACTTCTGACAGAAAGTTTTCCCATATTCACTACATTTATAAAGTTTGAACCTCTCATAAGTTTCAGGATGCTGAATAGGGTGTGAACTTGAGCAAAAGGATTTCCCATATTCCTCAGATTGGTAAGATGTCTCCCCTGAATGGGATTTCTGATGCTGAATGAAGTATCCTTTCTGATAACAGGATTTCCTGCATTTCCCATATTCACCAGATTGGTAGAATTTCTCTTCTGTGTGAGTTTTCTGATATACTGTAAAGTCTAATTTCTGGTAGAAGGCATCCATACATCCATTATATGCATACAGTTTATTTCCAGTTTGTTTTTTCTGATGTATTATATGAGATGAGCTCTGGCTAAAGTTTTGTCCACATTTATTGCTTTCAAAAGCACTCTGTCCTGTAACATTTCTCTGAGATTGAGTAAGGGGTGATATCCTATCGAAATCAATCCTACTTTCATTACATCCATAGTGTGGCATAGCCACATGAACTTTACTGTATTCCACAGTGATACTTTTGTCACAAGATTTCTCACATTTATTAAGATCAGAGTATTTCTCCTTTATGTAGGTTCTCATGTAGTTAACTAAAGTGGTTTTATCACAGTTTTTCCTAAATTCATCATCCTTACAGGAATTCGCTCCTATTGGAAAACTCCCAGCTGTAACACAGACCTTATCATGTAAAACTTTTCCAAACTCATTACATTCAAGAGATTGCTTCCACGTTTGAAATTTCTGATACCAATCCTTCTTATGACTGTGAGTTTTCACATTTTTATTATATTCGTAAGATTTATCTCCAGTATGAGTTTTCTCACGGTCACTAACAAGCTGCAATCTTTCATACACATTTAAGTAATCAGCCTTCTTTCTTGAATAGTTTCCTTCATATAAAATTAATTCAGAAACAATTGGCAAATTTATTTTACATGAGTCACATTTATAGGGCATTCGTCCTGAAAACTCTGGAGCTATGCCTGGATTAAATGTGTTTTCTAAAATTTTCTGTCCTTCTTTATTTAATATTTCATCATCGATGAGTATTACTTGCCACAGAGGCTTCCCTTGTTTTTCCTTGATCTCTTTCATGTGGTCATCAATTTTATAATATCCTAAAATTAGAAAAATAGAAAGCATATTATAAATCTGATACTTCACATAGAGAGTGAACTTATACCCATGTTTTCTGTACATTTAATCCTTTTGTTGTTTCTAAAGATTAAATAATTCATGTACACAGACATAAACTCTTTTTCTTCCTCTTTATCCAAGTTGTTTTTAAAAAAAAAAAAAAAAAAAAAAAAAACAGGCATTGTTTCCAGGGCTAGCCAAGAAAAAGCAACCCCTTTATTCCCAAGTCTTCTCTCTTATAATCAAAAATGCCTGGACAGGAAAAATTAGCAAACATAGGAAGACTCTACAGAATGAAAAGAAAGTGGATCTGGGAACTTAAGAAATAACATGATGGAGAATTCCCCAGGTTTTCCTTTTGCTTCAAATATATCCTAGACTGGGTGCTGAAGAAGCCAACAATCTAGAACCAACAACAGGCATAGACAAAAAGAGCTCCAAGAAAAGCCTGTTCCTTCTAGCCAAAGTTCTGAGAAAAAGGTGGTCTAACAGAACAGAAAACATTTTTGACAATATTCACCATACTCAGGGCAATAAGAATGGAACAGTCCTGTGGTTCCAAAGAGGCTGAGCAGGGAGCTAATCTTCACTGTCAGAGAAACAGTGTACACTCTGTACACTCTTGTAATATTTCTCTCCATGAGATAAGTGGGGAGTCATAGAAAAGATCATGACAAATCCTGGAAAACTTTCATTATTGGGATAAGTTGGGAGCTGCTAATAGCAGCCACTGTCAAGATTTTGCTCGGAACTATGTTCTTATCTAATTTAAAGAAAAACCTCTTAATTTGCAATGGCAAGAACACCACATCTGTTGTTTAGGGCATGTGCAAGACCTAACGGCAGCTAAGAAAAGGAAAGAAGGAAAAGAAAAAGAATGAGAAGCACAATAACAAAACCCAGGAATATATGCTAGGCCCAATACTACAGGTAGAAGAGACAAAGTAGCACTTGTGATAACCACATCTCCAAAACCTAGGGCACAATGTATGCAACAACAGCTGAATTCACAGTCTTACGGTCTTCTCTGAAGCACTTGGAACATTCAAAACACATTACAGGCTGTAAGACAAATCCTTACCAATATAAAATATCATCATACAGAAGATTACCTAAAGCCACAGAAAAATCACACTGCCAATCAGTAAATACAAATTTGTCTAAAGAAATACAAAATATTTATAAATTATACACTTTTAATGAATCCATGGGTGAAGAGGAAGTCTCACAGAAAATTAAGGTATTTTTAAGAGAATGAAAACAAAAAAATACATAGAAATTTATGGACACAGCCAAAGCAGTACTCAGAAATACATCTGTGGCTTAAAATTTTTATATTAGAGAAGACAGATTTTGAGTCAGATACTCAAGTTTCACCTTTAAGAAACTAGACAAAGAACAAAAGTTAAATCTAAAGGAAGCAGAAGGAAGAGTATAGATTAGAGAAAATAATGAAGTTGAAAACAGAAAATCAAATTGAAGCTTAGTTCTTTAAAACTATTTTTTTAAGTGGTAAAAAACAACAAAGGTAAAAAACCCAGAAAAGCCACAAATTAACATATTAACTTGACTCCCTATAATGGTGGATCTGGGAACTGAATGTCTAATCTCAAAATATTGAAACCAAATAAAAGCTATGTCTGCACATGTAAATAAGGCTTAAGACTGTAACAAAATTTATTCTTTAATTACACCTAAGGACTCAGTGCCCATAGCACAATGGTTATGGCACCAGCCACATACACCAAGGGTGGCAGGTTTGAACCCAACCTGGGCCAACCAAACAATGACAACTGCAACAAAAAATAGCTGGGTGTTGTGGCGAAAGCCTATAGTCCCAGCTACTTGGGAGGCTGAGGCAAGAGAATTGCTTAGGCCCAAGAGTTTGAGGTTATTGTAAGCTGTGACACCACAGCACTCTACCCAGGGTGACATAGTGAGACTCTGTCTCAACAACAAAAAATAACAATAAATGAATAATTGAGTAAAATAAATTTTTATAGGTTTTATAGATATGAAAATCATATGTTTTAAGAAAAACAATCACTAGGGAAGCATTTCAAATAGTTTTAACAATATGCCTCATGACCTAATTACCTCCCTAGAGCCTACCTCCAAGTAGAATTCATATGAATTGGAAGGTGGGCCTCAGTCACTCAGTCCACTGCAAACTCTGTGGACTAACAATTTATGTGATATGAACAAATTTCTAGGGATAAAACAAACTGACAAAATTCACTGAAGAAAAAAGGAGTAACTTGAACAGACTAATATTTATTTAAGAAATAAAGTATGTAATATATATGTAGTTCATATATATAGTTCATATATATATAGAATATGTAGATATGCAGTTTGTAAATATGAATATGAATACATATATATACACATACATGCATACACATACACATACAGACACACACACATACATTTCCAAATAACAGCTTTAGGACAAAATGATTTTAACTAGTGAATTCTACCAAACATCTAAGTAAGAAATAATACTAATTCAACAGAATCTTTTCCAGAAAATATAAGAGGAGAGAATATTTCCCAAATCATTTTATAAGGCCTACATTATCTTCACGGCAAGATGAGACAAAGGCAACTCAAGGAAAAAAACTTAAAGGCCAATATGACATAATACAAAATCCTCAAAAAATATAAGAATATAATAAGTCATGACAAGTGAGATTTCAGCCCCCCAACTGTAAAACTCTTGAAATACAAGGTGTCCATAAATTGCACACAAACTTTATGAGCACCTTGTATTAAAAAAAAATGTAATCCATTTTATTAATAGTCTTCCAAGACTATTTTCCCTCCAAGAAAGGATGTCCACTCCTATCACCCTTACTCAAGGTTATACTAAAAGTATCAGCCAGTACAATAAGCCAAGAATAAAACCCAAAAGATATAAAGCAACTCAATACAGAAAATCATTTATGAACCTACACAAACCTCCTTGAACTGAGAAATGTTTTTAGCAAAGGCAGAACATAATAAGGCCAATACACAATCACGTGCTTATAAACAAACAAGGATCCAATGGAATTTGAAATTTTAGAAAAGCAGCACAATTTACCATAGCACCAAAAAACAAACAAACAACAACAAAAAGACGTGGTGTCTGTCTTATGAAAACTATAAAAAATTGATGAAAGCAAATAAATACTAAATAAATGGGGAAGAATATTTTGTTTATGAATTAGAAGACTCTATATTGTTAAGATCTCAATTCTCTTTAAATTCAACCAATCCCAGGTGAAATGCCAGCATCTTTTTTTGTAAAGATTAAGCTCACTTCAAAATTCACAGAGAAGATGACAGTTGGATAACTGACTTCAAAACTTAATTAACAAGCTATAGTAATCAAGTTAATGTAGTACTGGCATCAGCAAAGACATGTAGATGAATTAAAAAGCACAGAGAATCCAGGAAAAGACCCACAAATACAAAGTCACCTGTCTTCTAAGAAAGAATGCTATTCAATAGAAAAATAATAGTCCTTTCAACAAATAGTGCTAGAATAACCAAACTCAAAAATTAAACTTAACACATACTTCACACTTTCTATGAAATTTAACAGAAAATGGATCAACTAAGTGTAAAAAATGAAACTTTAAAATTTCTAGAGGAAAACATAAGAATAAAACTGTTACTTTTAGTTCTAAAGTTTCTAGATGGGACAACAAAAGCATGATCTATAAGAGAAAATTAACAAATTGGACTTTGTCAAAATAATGTTCAGTGTTGGTCAGTCTCCTCTGAAATTATGCCCATAAGAGAAGTGGGTTTCATCATCACTAACTGCCAAGTGGGGACAGAAGCCCAGGTTCCCCATTAATCTGGTCTGACACCCAGGAGATGGAAGAGAAGGCTTCCACAGTAACACTGGATAGGGGTGGGAGATCAAGTTCCCCACAAGGCCTCTGCTGACACTAACCACCTTGCATTTCCTAGGTGCCAAAGTCCCAAGTGTTCAAATTTATTTTTCTTTTCAGCTTCCAGAATCTTACGTTTGATATACATAGAGGGTACCAAAAGATGCAGACACATTTTAAGAAAGGAAAAAATTGTACTGAAATTCTAATACTCAAGTCATGTTTGACTTCTGTGCATGGGGCCGGCGCCTTACTCCTTTGAGCCACAGACACCACCCAAGTATTTCAACAATTTTGATACAGATTTTTCCTTTCTTAAAGGTACCTTCTGTATATACACATACACGTACAGAGGGCCTTGTTTTACTGTGCTTTACTTTATCGCACTGTACTGATACTGCATTTTTACAAACTGAAGGTTTGTGACAAGTCTATAAGAGCCATTTTTCTTAGCTCATATGCTTACTTCATCTGTGTCAGTATTTTTTAGCAATGAAGTATTTTTTAATTAAGACATACACATTTTTAGACATAATGCTATTATATACTTGAAAGATTATAAAACACTGTAAACATAACTTTTATATGCACTAGGAAACCAAAAAGTTTGTGTGAGCCACTTTATTGCAATATTCACTTTACTGTAGTGTTCTGGAACTCAATCTGCAACACTCTGAGTTACTCCATGTGGGTACATATTTAATTATACTTAGTGGGTAGAGTAGAAAGTAGTATTTTTACTCCATGCTTCTCCCAGTTAATGCCTTCTATATTAAATCCTTTCCAGAGAAGAGTCATAGATTTATTCTTATCAACTTCCGTAATAATTATGGTTTTGCTTTGATAATTAGGTCCTTAAACAATATGAATCCTTTGTCTATATGGCTGTCTCAAGATCTTTTCCCCACTGTTCTGCAGTGTCACTTAAAAACAACTATCTATAAAAGTGCCTATTTTTCCTTGAGCTTTCTATTCTGTTTCACCAGTTACATCCATTTTACTATTTTTTATGCTGACATTCTATTTCTCAGCTTTATAGTTTATTTCTAATTTTACTTTCAAATTCTTCTGCTTTCATATGTATTTTTGTTACTATTCTTGCTTAATTAATACAATATGAAACTACAAACTTAATTCTGTTCACTAATTTAACTGTATCTTATCGCACAAGTATCACACAATTTTGGATCTGATTTCCTTTCTTATACACGGTCTAAAACAGATAGTTTTTAAAATTTTCGTGTGGAGTTTTTAATTATTAATTTCTAGATTTACCAAATTATGTTCAGAGATTATTTGTGGTGATTCTAATTGTTAGGACATACTGGGGTTTTCCTTACTAATACTGTACTTTCACTAACTGCTGATTATTCCTTGGGAAATTCAAAGGCTTGTTCTTCACATTTGAAAAACTATACACACACATATAGTTTACTTTAATATAAATGCCATTTTTATCACCTATAGACATTTATGTAATGTCAACTGTACCAATTATTTAATCCTATTAAGTATACCTTAATTCTAATTAATTTTAAGTTCTTAAAACTTCTTTTTTTTATATGCTATGAACATTGATATCATTATTATTTGAGACAGTCACTCAAATTCTTAAAGGCTTTCTCTTACCTATGCTCTTGAACTAGAGGGGCTTCTTCAAATTTAATACACTTACTGCCAAAATTCAAATGTGAGTAATAAAAGAAAGTAAATCCTATGTTATTTCATTTATTGTCTCAACAACTTTCTTATTTTTTTAGAGAGATCTTTTTTAGAAACTCAATATGATCCAATCACTAACCTTTAGTGACTAGAAGATATGCTTCACCTAAATTATGAAAATCTTTACATTATACTATTTGTTTATAAGACTTCACAACAAAAACTTTCAGTAACTATGCTTCACTTCTGATAATTAAAACGATCTTTCCCTTTTGTTTTAGGAATTATACTAAAAACTCTAACTTATAAAAATTCCTGAAATGGTTTATTTTTACAAAATCTAATAGACATACGAAAAGATGCTTGACATTTATTAGCAATGAGGAAAATTGTTATGGGCTGGATTGTGTCTCTCCCACCCCCAAATTCATATGTTGGAGCCCTATGCCCCAGTGTAACTATATCTGGACACATGCCTATAACAAAGTAATCGAGGTTAAATGAGTTCATGAGGGTGGTCCCTAATCCAACAGGACTAGAGTCGTCATAAGGGGAAGAAATACTAGAGCGTTCTCTCTCTTTCCCGCACCGTTTGTGCACAAAGGAAAGGGCACACAGAAGCCTCTCTAGCTCAAGAGCACAGGTAAGGAAACACAGCAAAAAAATGGCTATCTGGAAGGCAGGAAAAGAGGCCTCATGAGAAACTCACAAAAGCACCTTGATCTTGACTTCTAGCTTCCAGAACTGTGAGAATTTGCTGTTTAAGCCACCCAGCCTATGGTATTTTATTATTAGAGTCCTAGCCAGTACATAAATACGAACCAAAACCATAATGAGATACACACTTTACATCTATCAAGGTGACTACAATCAAAAAGTCAGATAATAACAAGTGGTGAGAACGTGGAGAAATCAGAACCCTCATATGCTTTGGTTAGGAATGGCAAGTGGTACATCACTTAGAAAAACAATCTGGCAGTTCCTCAAACAGATAAACACGGAAGTACTGTATGACCCAGCAATTCTACTACTAGACATATACCACAAGAGAAATGAAAACATGTGTCCATGCAGAAACTTGGAAATGAATATTTATATCAGCATTATTCATTCAAAATAGCAAAAGGTGGAACCTCAATAATCTACTTACTGATGAATAGATGGTGTATTTATATAATAGAATATTACTTGGTCACAAAAAAAGGATGAACTACTAATATATGCTATAACATGAAACTTGTAAACATTGTGCTAAGCAAAAGAAAGCAATCACAAAAGATCACAGTGTATGATTCTATTTATATGAAATGTCCAGAATAGGCAGATCTATAGAGACAGAAGTAGATCAGTGGTTACCTAAAGATGGAAGGGATGGAGACAACAGGAGGATGATAACTAAAGGGTACCAGTTTCTTTTTGAAGTGATGAAGACTGTGGTGGTCATGTTTGCAAATACAAATTATCCTCAGTATCCATGAATCATTGCTTTCAGGACTCTACTCCCTGTGCGAAGGACACCAAAACCTACAGATGCCAGAGTCCCTGATACAAAATGGTTCAGTCTTTGCATATCACCTATGCACATCCTCTTGTATACTTTAAATTGTTATTGTTATTTATAATAGCTAATACACTGTAAATGCTATGTAAACAACTGTTATGCCCTATTGTTTAGGGAAAATGACAAGAAAAAAAGTCTATGCATATTCAATATAGACGTAATTTTTTTTCTGAATAGTTTTCCATCCCAGGGTTGGTTAAATCCACAGATACAGAGGGCTGACTGTATTTATAAATATACTAAAGGTTATTGAACTGTACATGTACACCTTAAATAGGTGAATAGTATGAGATATGAATTATATGTCAATGAAATGGTTAAAAATAAAATACTTTCAAAGGTGCTCTCCCTCTAAGGTCCAACCCCCCCAGAGTTCCTTGTGTCAATGTTCACTCACCTGGGTACTTCTGGCTAAGGAATTCATCCTCTAAGGACCATGGCTCTTCTCCTTGCTCCAACTTGAAGATCACTTTGGGTTTGGTAATGCAATACCCTGTAAAAATTATAATTGAGAGTGTACAAGGACCAGACCCATGGGCTTTGGGGTTTCCAAAGATAGAAAAAGATACAGTAGCAAAAGCAATAAATGAAGGTGCTCATTTTAAGTTTTCAATGGGAAAGGAATGATACAAACATTGTTTCTATTTCTCTAAAAGTTTCAGTCACCTTGGAATTGGACTGATTAATCTAAAGTCTGAATAACCCCAATGGCCATAAAGGGTTCATGTGATTTGATCATTTTTTTAAAGTTAACATATTCTAGAGGGAGTCACATGGTAAAGTCTGCTCACCCAGTGAAACAAGGTGGCTGTAGTTCTCCAGCATCACATCTCTGTACAGTGTCCTCTGCGCAGGGCCCAGGTGTTGCCACTCCTCCTGGGTGAATTCCACAGTCACGTCCTCAAATGACACTGATTCCTGTTAACAACACATTTTGTTCAAGATTTTGTAATTAGGTGACATAGAAAATATCTTTGGAAACTACTACATTTCCTATTCATTCTTGAGGCTCTATGAATGGTTATAAAGGCCATTTTGGACCTAATTTTGTCTTAAAACTTATCACTCAATTAGTTTAAAAAGTTTTTAACTTACCGCAACTCATTTATATATACTTATAAACTCTAGTTTTTTTAAGACAAAAAAATTCCAGGTAAATGGACTTCTTACAACTCTTTTCCACATTCCATTGGATTATTCTGGTGCTCTCTAGGATATTCACACCCTCCCTGGACATCATCAGTGAAAATAATGGGAGCCAAGGAAGAGATACTCATAAGCTCTGGCACTACACCTGGCCAAGCCCAGGTATAAACAAATGTATAAAAATATATAAATCTAGAGATCACAAAAAGCAGAGAACAGCTTACAAAGGAGTCAGAACCAAACAGATCAATAGAAAAGAATACTACCTACACGGCAATACTAGCAACAGATATTGGCAGAGGGTTATAATAAAAGGGGAGAAGCAACAATCATTTGATAACCACTTTCTTTTTTTTTTTTTTTTTTTTTGACAGCCTCAAGCTGTCACCCTGGGTAGAGTGCCATGGCTTCACTGCTCACAGCAACCTCCAATTCCTGGGCTCAAGCGAGTCTCCTGCCTCCGCCTCCCAAGTAGCTGGGACCACAGGTGCCCGCCACAACGCCGGCTATTTTTTTTTTTTTTTTTTTTGGTTGCAGCCATTATTGTTGTTTGGTGGGTCCGGGCTGGATTCGAACCCGCGACCTTAGGTGTATGTGGCTGGCGTCTTAGCCGCTTGAGCCATAGGCGCCGAGCCAATAAACACTTTCTTAGCAGATATCCAACCTAGCTATATGAGCAGCTTGTTTTAAAAAAGGCCCTATGTTGTCCCTTCTAGGGGATCTTCAGGTTTGGAGAAAGCAGGAAGTGAAGGCTGATAAAGAGCTGTAAACACCAGGATGACTGTTGAATGAATGCCCTAGTATTCACAGGGCCCTGTGGCAAAAACTGGGAGACTTCAGTTTTTAAGGGAAATTTCTGCAGACTTCAACTGCCACATATGATAACAAATACTGTACTTAGTTTTAAAAAAAGTCACTAGAAAAATTTCAATGACTTTTGGAGAGGGGAAAAATTCTTCTAGTGTTACCACATTATTCTATTTAAAATGTCCAGTTTTCAACAAAAAATTTCCAAACAAGAAAAGAAACAAGAAAGTAAAACCCATATGCAAGAAAAACATGTAATCAACAGAGATCATTCCCATAGACGACGACATTGGATTTGACTAGAGAATACTTTAAATCACCTACCCTAAATATGGTCAAAGATCTAGAGGGAGTCACAAGGTAGAGGAAATGATATCTAAGGCCTAAGACCAATATCTCACCAAATAAAGGATATTAATAAAGAGAAATTATTTTTAAAAGGGACAAAAATAAGAACTGTAGAGTTGAAAAATGTAATAACTAAAACAAAAATTTTACCCATACAGTATGTTCAAATACATTCAATAGCAGATTTGAGCACATGGAAGAACGAGTGAACCACTGGACATGTCCACTGAGATTGTATAGTGAAAAACGAAAAGAAAAAATAAAACAAAAAATAAACTGTAGGACAGGATCAAGCTTATCAATATATGTAGAATGAGAGCACCAGACAGAGAGGAAAGAGTCTAAAAGGATATTTGAATGAAAAGTTTCCAAATTAGATGAAAATGATTAATCTACACATCCACAGCAGTCAATAAACTTCAAGCAGGATAAACTTGGAAAAAAATCCTAATCTGGACACAAGATGACATCCTACAAACACAAAGACAGAGACAATCTTGAAAGCAACAAGAAAGAAATCGTATTAAAATGTAATTTATAACTAGAAATTATAGAGGACAGAAGCAACAGGATAACACATTCCAAATACTGAAGGAAAAACACCGTTAACCAAGAATCCTCTCTACCCAACAAAAAAGGGAGAAATTGAAACATTTCTAGTTAAACAAAAACTAAAAGAACTCATAATAGGCAAAACTTCTAATAAAGAGAAGCTCAGCCAATCTGCAGAGGCAAAGTAGGTTGCTTAGGACTTGGAGGGAATGGAATAATAAATTAAAGTATACAAAGTTTCCTTTTCAGGAAATGAAAACTTTCTAAAATTGACTGTGGTGGTGTTTATAGGTATCTGTGAATATACTAAGAAAATCATAAAATTCTACATTTTAAATGGGTGAATGGTAGAGTATGTAAACTGAATCTAAATAAAGCAGTTAAAAAACAAAAGGAGCTGAAATAATTTAGAGGTAACAGAGAAGATTAAAGGGCCAACTGGGAGTGAGAGCCATGCGAAAGGACAAGAGAAGAGGACTTTGTGCAGGTCTTAACAGTATCAATAACAAAAAAATGCCCAAGAAGGACAGAGTGAGAAGTAGAGGCAAGTGGCGCACAGAGTCAAGTAGGAGAGGCTAAGTTAACACCCACTGGATTTGATTATAATCCCATTAGGTTCACTGGAGAACAAAGGCAAGTGGCAAGAAAAACCAAGGCAGTTGGAAGTTGAATGCAAAGTGTGGTAACCTATGAAAGAGAATAGAATTTTAAACATCTGCTGAGCAACCTGAGCCGTATGGGTATTCAAAATACTTAAGAATAATTTTAAGGACATCCCACTGATTCATCAGAAAAATGTCTATTTCAACTACCATTACTGAGTTCTTAAAAAACAGTACTGAGCAAATTCTCATTGAGCATAATGCATTCCTACTCCTAGTGAAGAACAAATAGAGGCAACATTCTGTTATTTGACAAGTTATTAACCAACGCACCTCCTTACAGAACAAATATGTTTATCTTCATATCCCATGAGGAATCAGTTTGTTCTTTCTAATCAACGTAAATATTTAATTGCTGTCTGACACTCTGCCATGGCTATCAAAAACCTCAGAAATAAATGTGGAGCTCAATATGGTAAATTTGTAACATTGGAGGACTGCTTCTATCCACATGCCACCTTTGCTCTGCTAATGGTTTGCCATTTACATTTCTACTTTTCCATGTTAATGTACCGACACAAAAACCTTTATGGAACCCATTATAAAACAAACTGATTTTTTAAAACTGAACTCACCTGAGACATGTACATTTCTGCTGCTTCTGAACAAGTATAGAGAGCTGTGAAGGTTCAGCTGGGGAGGAAGAGAAATAGGGTCATAAGAGATCTGGTTTGTCTTATAGATCCTATACAGATGGTCTTTCTATAGTTTGACTTTACAATGATTTCATCAGGATATAACCCCATCATAATCAAGGAGCATGCTTATTCATTTGCCTAAAAAGTTTATCACACCCAGCTGGAGAAAAGGCTTCCTAATGAGGAATGTTCCTTTGACTCTTGAAAATGAATGGAAGGACCACAAAAGGTCCCCGAACGTGTGCATCTCTAGTAAGATTATGTGCACTTAAACTTGCATTTTCAGAGTAAAACTTCTGTTGATGTAGTAACAATTTCTGTTCCATTCTGACAAAAAGTAAACATAACAGAAAATCAGACAAGTTCAGACACACAGATATGAAACTCTCTACCTTTATTAAAACTAATGTCAGAAAACTACGTGGGTGAATATATTAATCAAGTTCTTACTCTCTTTACACCCTGAGTGAAAAGCATCCACAGAAAACTCTGAACTAAAAGTGGGATGAGATGTGTACACATTCCACTTCACAATCATATCTGGGGTCAGGCCATCCTGCCTAAGTGCTCCGAAGCCAGGTACTGACAACTCTGGCTCCGAGGTAGGTAGGAAATTAAGAAGAGGAAGAAACAGGAAGTCAAGCCTACCTGTATTGCATCCCACCTGCCTCACCTATTAGTTTGTACAAAGGAATATCCACACCCGCGAGATGCCTTTCATATTTTAAAATGCCAAATTTATAACAAGTAGGGTTGTTTTGAGGATTAAATAAAATACTGAACGATGAGAACAAGTATCTCATAATTACGACAGCAGCGTACATCTTATACAGTGATTATTACAGGCACTTGACAAAATGTTTTACAGATGACAACTTATTTAATTCTCCGACTAATGGCAGGAGTTCCTAGTCCTGCTCGTTATCAACGTTCTATCGGCACAGTCCCCTCCCTGGGCCGGCAGCCCGCACACCCCGGCCGGCACCCAGCACCTACCGCGGACCAGGACTCAGCCTGACCCGCGGCAGGGCAGCCCGCGGTCGGCCTCGCGCGGGGGCTGGGGGAGGGGAGGGCCAGCCTGGGGATTCCCGAGACTTCTTGCTCCAGTCTCCCGCACACAAGTCTCCCGCACCACCTGTCCTGAGGTCCCCAGGCTGCGCAGAGGCCCGCCACCGGAACTCTCACCCCAGGTGCGCAGCCTCTGCTCCGGCACAGATCTAAAAACAAGAAGATCCCGACCCTCTCAGGCCGAAGAGGTACACAAGCGAGAAGGCTGGTTTGCACATGCGTAAAGTGAGCTCCGAGAACCCATTCCCAGAGTGCTGAGCGGTAGGTCTATACAGTAGAAAACTACAATTCCCGTGAACCTATACTCCCCAAGGAAGTAACTTTTCCGCTTGGTTGGCGGTTTGGATGGGACAGTGCAGGTTTTCCCCAAATCCCAAAAGGTTATGGGTGTAACAACAAACTACAACTCAGGTTCTGCAGGTTCTCGATTGGATCCTGGTTACAGAAAAAAGCAGCCGCAACAGACTTTGACAATTTGGGAAACACGAATAAAGACCGGACATAAGAAATATTAAGGAAAATTCCCGTTTCTTGGTGTGATAATATGTGAACAATGTAGGAAATTGTTCTTATTATTTGGTGAGACCTCACTTAAAGTGCCTAATACAATGATACACTTCAAAACTATTAAGAATACAGCATAAATGTCTTACCACAACAAATAGGCAAACAAGGTGACGGTTACATTAATCAGTTCCATGTAAACATTCCACATGGTTTATCAATTCATCATATTATACCCCATAAATGCATTAATGTACACAGTCATGATTTAATAAAGGAAAAAAAGCATTTTTATTAAAAATTTACTTAATGTATAAGGTATTGAAATGAAAGAAGAAAAATAATGTTTTGTCTGAAATAATTCTTTGACCAGGGAAATTTTAATAAGGTAAATTATTTTTAAGGCAGTGTTCCAATAGCTATCTCAGGTAGGTCATTCAATTTAGGATATCTGCTTTATGACACTATATGCTAAATTTTTCCCTTTTTAGAGGTGGAAAAAGCCTACCTGGATGTCATATTTTTAGATATTGATAGCATAGGAATTGTGGGGAGGAGAGAATTGATCAAATATTTTGTCATCCTTTAATACCAATGAGAGTGCTTTAGACTTAGACATCCTAGAACCAGCATCCAGAAAATATTACTACAGTAAAGTGACAAAAGCAAAAGTAAAGGAATTGTTTTCGAATACAATTGTTTTCGAATGATTGGCTAATAGGTCTCCTTTAGGTAAAAATTTAAAAGGTTTTAAAAAGCTCACTGTAAGAGATTCAAGTGCACATTAAGCAAAGCTGCAGGATATAAAACCAATAGACAAAACTAATGGCATGGGCAGGCGTGGGAAGCCAAGGCAAGTGGTTTAGGCAAAATTTTATATAAAGGAAAAAAAAGTTAAATTATGTTATGAGTGAGACTCTGAGCTGATTCATTGTATGAACTGTTATAAAAATGTGTAGTTGAAATTCATACGTTATATGTTTGAACTTTAAATATTTACAAAGTACTTTCTGAAAATTTAATATTTAATTATTTTTTACTGTATAAATGATGTCTTCTTGAGTGGCAAGTTAAAAATCTATAAGGGCTGGGCACAATGGCTCATGCCTATAGTCCTACTACTCTGGAAGACCATAGTGGGTACACCACTTGAGGTCAGGAATTAGAGACCAGCCCAAGCAAGAGCAAGACCCTGTCTCTACTCAAAATAGAAAAACTAGCTGGGCCTTCTGGTGGACATCTGTAGTTTCAGCTACTTGAGAGGCTAAGGCAAGAAGATCACTTGAACCCAAGAGTTTGAGGTTGCTGTAAGCAATGATGCCACGGCATTCTACTCAGGGTGACACAGTGTCACTTTATCTCAAAAAAAAAAAAATTAAAAATCTTTAGTGTTTGGGGGAAGAGCTAGATGGTGAATGAAAAGAATCGTTCTGCTGAGCTCTCCTAGTATGACTAATGAAAGAAAGAACCCAGCCATACCTTGCATGGGGACCTTACCCAGAGTGGTAGCTTGGCTACAATGAAGTGGTGGTGTACTGGAGACAGTGTGTGATCTGGAGCAGTGGAGATCTGACACACTAGGCAAATGTTTGGAAGCTGGTGGGAATGGCTAGCCCCCCATCATGGAGGTCCAGGGACAAGAGGAAGCCTTTCCACAGTTTTTGGTTCTCGGGGGAACCTGCACATTGGGTGGAAAGTTTGGAAGAGTAGATGGACTCAAATAGTATACAGCAGCCAGATTTGAGACCTGGTTGGAGTGGATTTGCCATCAGTTTGGTGGCAGGCGGGCAGCCATACTGGGAAGGTACCAGTTGCCAGGAGGCAGCCATTGTGGGAAGGTCATGAGAAGGTCATGATGGTGGGCCTCTTAAGGTACAGCCATCTTTGTTTCACCTGCCAGGATCAGAACCCCACTCTTGGGACAGGCTCAGGGACTCCTGCACCCCTTGGGAATTGTTGTCAGGAGAGACTGTAAGACCTGCCTCTAAAGTATTCTGGAAAGCTTTATGATCACAACCAGGCAGGGTTTGAATGCTGAGGAAAAAATCAAGTGTCATCATGGATGATTAATTTGGGAGCCAGGACCATGCCTGGAACTAGAAAGAAGTTGCCAGCTGTGTTCTCTATCCCCTAAAAAACAAAACAAAACAAAACAAAAAACCCAGAGAGCCACCTGTCCCAGCAATATCTTCCAACATAAACATACTCCTTTTAAAGTTTGCCTCTTTCAATATATATGTATTGAATTATATATATGTATACCTACATAAATATAATTTTTTTTAGTACTTTTTTCCTTCTTTGCTTTCTTGCTTCAGTTGCTGCTATTTTTGGCTATTAGAGCTTTTTTGTTTTGTTTTGATGTGGGGTTTTTGTTTTTATTTTTGCTAATTTGTTTGGTTGGTTCTATTCTTTTTTTTTTTTTTTTCCTTTTTTTTTTTTTT